GGGAAACGCAGAGCTGGCTGACTGGTTTTCAGAGGGATGCCGCAGCCTTTAAACCCCGTCCCAGGCACACCCTCACCCGCCCGACTGTTCGTGCTCTTCCTATGAGCGCTGGCTTCTGGTCCCCGCAGAGCAACACGGAGCCTTTGTAAGGAGCCCCAGCCCGGCGTTTGCTCCAGCACGGTGCTGGGATGGGAAGCGATGTGGCCAGGTGGTGGTTGGCTTTTTTTATTATTATGATATTTTTAATAAATGTAGTTTGACATGAGGAGGGCTTTGGAGAAGCGTGGGCATGAGCGGGAGGACCTCTCTTCTGCACCCTCGGCGGCAGGGCTGGTGCAGGGGGCTGCTCCGGGGGAACGGGGCTGCGTGGGGGCTTGGCGTGTCCCATGGGACACCGGCTTCCCCGGGGATTGCTGGTGATGTCCTCGAGCACCCCTCCGGGGGACTTTGGGAGCAGCATGACCGGCCGAGGTCTCAAGAGATGAAACCGAAGGATGCCAAGGGAGGGTAAGGGAGACGTGGGGCGGCTCACCATTGCTCATGCCTGCCTTGGCTCTCCGTGGGTTACAAACGAGCGCTGCTGGCACAGGGATTCGCAACCTGCGCTGTGCTGGCGCAGGTTCACGTGGGAGCGTTGAGCCCTTGCTATGTTTTTTCAAATAACAAAATACCAGCCTGTTGTTTTACATGCAAATGGGCGCTCTCTGATAACTAAGTGCTTTCTAAGGGAGCTCTCTTCCTATCCGATCCTATTTCCTATTTTTAACATAAATCTGTTTATCTGCCTCAGAAAAGCCGGGTGCTCGCTGCTTTGTTGCTGCACAGCCTTTGTCTCCATCCCCAGAGGTGTCGGCCTCCGTGCAGATGTGCAGAAGCAGCGAAGCCGAGCGAGCAGCTGATGCCCAGAGCTCGCCGTGAGCTCGCCGGCGGCCGCAGAGACGTGCCGCGTCCCTCCTGGCGTGCGGGGCAGTCGCTGACACGGGCTGGGGACGTGCAGCCTCTCCCCTTCCTCTCCTTGCTCCCCACCCCTCTTTCCTTTCTCTTGCCGCTTTCTGGTCTCTGATCTGTTATCACCGTCTCTCTCTTTAATAAGTGTGAAATGGGAGCCTCTGGGCACCATCAAAGCATGGCTTGTTATTGTCTCTGTGTTAGCTCCTGGACAAGTTAGGAACATTTTAAATTATTTTTTTTAATAAGGTAGTAAAACTTATTCTATTTCTGTTCCCTGTTGAGGTGCTTTCTGCTGTTAGTTGACGCGTTGTGGTCTTTGTTTCCTGTGGCTTTGTGGAGCCTGTTCCAGGGCGTTTGCTGGGTTAAAGCCGGTAAGATATTGCACGGCAAGCGCCGCGTCACCGACCTTCCCCGACAAGCAGCACCTCCAGATTTGGTACCAAGTGTCTTTGGTCTACCCAAAGCCAGACCATCAGCTTTTGTCACTCTGTTTCTTTATTAATTTATTCTCCTTCGTTGGTCAGGCAGAGAAGAGCAGATTATTTCTTAAAGGTGTCACTTACTCTTCATTTCTTTTTAAAGTTGGCTTCGGTTCAGTTAGCAACTTGTGCAAGAGGCTGGCTGGGCAGCAGGATGCAATCCGAAACCCTCGCTTCATCTAAAAGCAAGCAGCTGCCACCTCCTCCCTGTCCCATCCCTTTGCCCTGCGATACCAGGGCGATACCATCGGTACTGGGGTGACGGCCGCGTCGCCTGGGTGCTAGCAGGAGAGGGGCACATTTCCATACAGATTAATTTGGGATTGCTGCAGATTTTGGGTAACAAAAGCAGGATCTGCCCATCTAGGCGGGTGCTGCGTGGAGTGGGGTTCTTCTCTGCTCTCTGCAAAGATACCTATTTTTTCTTGTCTGCTTTTGCACGTGGGGCCACGACAATCTAATGACCTTTTCATTGTAGCTCTGCGAACAGAGACGAGTGCGGCGGGGACTCCCGTGTCCCAGAATAGTTTTCCTTCAAGATCTTCCCATCCAAGTCTCTCATTGCGTCTCGCTTTTTGAAATAATCAGCCCCCGTGGTTATTTCAGTTAACGCTAATTACTGTCATGAACTAATTAATGTGGGTTGACTTTCCTCTTCTCTTTCTAATGCTTTTTTAACCCACTGACACATTCCAATTAAGGGACTCATGCAGGGACCGGACTGAAATGACTCAGAGCAATCACAGTTGGAATAAATCGTGTGCTTTAGTGAAGGTCACTAATATTTTTTCAAATTGCCAGTGTTGCGTATTTGCGCCTGCCAACAGGGAGATGACCTGACCTTACGATAAGCATCTGAGATACCTTCAAGTTTGCCTCCTTTTTGGTGCAAGCAGATTCGCGGGTACCATGTCGATACGCGTTTGATGTGCTGAGAACGGTGGCACAGAAAATAGCCGTGGGAGGCTTCTCATCAGGACTGCAGACCTTGAGGCAAGTGGTCTTGACCTTGCAAGGACCTTGCTTGTTTTTATCTGTAGCTGTGCAGTGGGAATAGAGGGCACACGCTGAATGTTACCTGCCTGCTCGTGCTCGTACAAGTGATTTCTTTTTCCCCTTGGTTGGGTTATTGTAACTTGCAGAGTCCTGCGGGCTCTGGCCGTGCCCTGGACTTGCTTCCCTGCCTGTGCGGACAAGCTGCAGTTGAGAAGCAGCTGTCTTTGAGCTGGGGGGAAGCCACAAATCTGGTGGTGATAAAGCCTACAAAGCTGCTGTTCCAGTGTTTATAGCTCATTTAACAAAATGCTGGTGGGAGCCATGTGGAAGGAGAGCTCTGTAAAACCTGGCGTTCCCAAGGTCCGAAGCGAGAGCAATGGCAAGTGGGAGGCAGCCGGCGGCTGGAGCAAGGCTGGAGAGCCCCCTGCAACGCTTGCAAATTCTTCCTGTGTGCTTAAAGTTGAGACTTTACTTCTGCGGCTCCAAATTCCCATCCTTGCTTCTCCTCGGGGTGGCGTTTTCCAGAAAGTGATGCTACTCGCTTTCCAGAGGTGAAAACCCCTTTAGCTTCAGTAGGACTGGACTCTCCCCTGGATATAGGGAGACCATGCTGCCAAGGTGCCAGCAGCAGGGCAAACCCATGAGTTTCCATTCTTGGTCTCTTCCCACCTTATCCGAGTAGGGTCACAATGCCGTAGTTCCCCTCTTTCCTCACTATGTCATACCATCCAGGTTTTGCTGGAAAATGCTTGTATTTCTACCTGCTCTTCCAGCTACTGCTCGTGAGGTGAGGTGCAGAGCTGCTGGTGTCTCCCATGGGCAGGCGCGGTGGGGTGGGTCTCCCTTCTCCCTGGGGATTTAAACGCCAGCACCTCATCAGTGCATCTTGTAATCGTTGGGTTAGTGGAGGTAAAAGCACTCTGATTAAACTGCAATAGAGAGCAGATAGCAAATATGTGATTAGTATTAATAGTACTGGTCAGACTATATTATGCAAATGATGGGAGCCTAGACGATTTAGTTATTAATCTTTAACCTTTATTTTTGTTTAATGTGACCTTACCCATCAAGTCTCTCATTACCATCTCTGGCTGTTCAGCGTATGTTCGTTTATTCTGCTGCCATCAATCCAACAGCTACACCCGTGTTCCCAGCCGGTGACGCCGGGTGCAGCCTGGACACCCTTCCTTGCGGATGCTCCCGGGGGCTGGTTCCCAGCCCTGCACTCTGGGTCCCGCTGCCCATGTTTTGGGTAGAGCTGGTCACACCAGGTCATGCAGCCTCTGCCGTGGGACACGTTCCCTTCTCTCAGCTGTCCGGTTATGGCTCTAACCCCGTGTTCCCTATCAGTTTTGTAGCCGTCTCTGGGTGGATTTGGGCAGCCCGGGGACGTCCAGGGACGC